CAAGGTTCGAAATTTTGCTTTTAGTATAAGCATTCTATTACAATTGAGCTCGATTTCTGTAAGATTTTCACAGCAAAAGTAAGTAGCAACGGTTCTTACTATTATATACTTATTCGTGTTTTTAACCTCCTCTTGCACACCAATTGCCGTCGAATTCATGGGGAAGTGATCATACCAAGCACAAATTGTATAGATTTCTCCTATTTCTTATTGCACGAAATTGGTGACGGGGTATCAGTAAGTTATTCCCGTAAGTTACTGCGAGTTATTGTTACGGATATTGAAATTTACCGAGCCCTGGGCTTGGGTGTTTTAATTAAGGTGTTGTCATCTCGAACCGCATATTTTTATTTGATGCCACTAAGGCTCGGTTTCGACAGGAGCTGCACCTATACGATTTCAAAAACGCTGAATGCGTCTCGAGGTTTGATTTGGTTTTGCAGCGGTTATCCGTCCATGCCGCTCCACCAAATGAAGTGGTTTTGTTTATTCTAATCGTGAGCTTGCCATATACAAACGCAAAGCACCTGACAAGTATGTATTCTTCGACTCGCGAGTTTGAATGCAGATGCGGCGTTCAAAGTGTAAAATTCGCTATCCAGCAAGTAGCGCTATAAATCTGTCGTTTGGCTGCTCGGCACGATGACACCTAGGTAGCCTGATCGACATGCATCCTCATCTACAATACCGGTTAATTGCAGACGGTAAACTAAAGTAGTCTTCCAGTATCTAGTATTTACACGGCATCTCATCCGGCAGGCAGAGGAAATGCCTGTGAATAGTACAATTGTGACAATAGTAACGGGAATGCGGCACATCTGCTGTTTATTGTACTAGAAGTATTGCCGTTTGCAGATATTTTGGCCAACGCATGCTTATTATCTCGTTAATAATCTCGATTTTAATCCAGCCAGCTCTTAATTAAGACCTAGGTCTGATTTATATATCTCGCCAGTACGGTCTAAGATCCGAGCTTGGGGCTCTGTTTTCTCGACCAAGGCGCTTTTCTACGACTTGGAAACGCAGAAATGCCATTCTAGACGGGCCAAACCGAGTTTCTGGGCCTAAAAGCGGCCCCCAGCAAAGCATAAAGCTAAATCAGCCCTCGCCTATCTCGTGTCCACTCATATTAAGAGACAGGCGTGGTCTATTTTAGAGGGCAAAGTATTTGCAAGCGGCAATACTTGGCTAATAGCCAAACACTTCTATCCGACGATATTGTCAAGCATCTTTATCTGCGTTTTCCGAATAAATGTTTTTTTAGAATACGAACTATCTTAACGTTTTAAATACAAGATAGTTCGTATTGGCGAAGCTCCGAACTGCGAACCCCCCCCCCCCCCCCCGCGTTCACCACCCGGGT